TGCACTGTATGTTTGTAAGTTTTCTCCCCAACAAACACAACAATGTCGACGAAACGCTTTGCACCGTCAAAGGCACCTGCGGTAGCACCCAAAAGGCAGAGGAAGATGCAAACCAGACCGTAAACAAGACGCGAATATTACACCGGAAACGAAGCGCCCTACAGGAGTTTCCCCACCGGAAGTAGCATATGCTAAGGTGCACATAGTCTATCAATGGAACCGATTCTAGAAGTCAGTGACGATACTCAGCCCTAGAATAAACACCCACTTCACAGAAGCATGGCACAGCATCGGAGAATCAGCTCATCGGGACAGAAGTCAAGCTGCCTCTCTTCCACATCAGGGGAGAAGAGATGTCACTCATTGAGAATACAACGCAAAGCCTTTTTTGGTGCTCTATGAGTGAGCCTGGTTTTCAGCATGTCGCTCATTTAGCCAGTCACAAATTATTCCGGTGCCATATCTTGGTGCCCTGTTGTTTCAGTTGATCGCAGCAGAAGACCATAACCCATGAAAGCTTTGCAACTTTACAAACTAAATACCTTTTTAAATGTCGAAACAGCCTTCCTTAATAAGCAGTTGGACTAATACAGGAAGGAAACTTGCGTTGTTTACCTGCTCTTCATACACTCCGTGCGGCTAGCAGTTAGCACAGCTAGCCTTAACACAGCTGGCGTTTATACGGAATTTGCAAAGCAGCTCAAGATTCAGTAAGACAACCAGCCTGCTGTGTACTACCCACCCAAAGGTTCCTTGTCCTATCTTGGCCATTTTCTCGTACTTGGAGAACTCGTCACAGAAAGGGAACTCCACTCCGTCGTAGTACTTCGACATGATGGCGGCCTCCCGGTCGGGCCTGGACAAAAGGAAAATTCACGAGACTTTATAGTGGTGACATCAAACAAGGCTTACACAGAACGCGCCTCAAATGCAGCTGAAGCAAACTAAAGCAAACCCGTTTGTTAAATTGAAAAGTAAATCGATTTAGTCTTACTTTTCAGCCCCGGTGGCATTGCTTGTCTTGTCCCGCTGCATCCTGTCCGTGTCCGCGACGTAGTTACGTATGGAGCGTCTGCGCAGTGCGCACGGCGTCACATCTAGAGCTCAGCGACGCCCCGCCCACTGATCTGGGGGCGGGCTTGGCAAAAAGCTAAAGAAGCGACAATAAAGAAAAACAAATGAAAAATAAGCAGTAAAAGAATAATATGGTAAATGGCCTGTATTTATATAGCGCTTTACTAGTCCCCAAGGACCCCAAAGCGCTTTACATATCCAGTCATCCACCCATTCACACACCCATTCACACACTGGTGATGGCAAGCTACATTGTAGCCACAGCCACCCTGGGGCGCACTGACAGAGGCGAATATATATTAAAAAAAATCAGTCTCGTAAGGTTCGTCTGTAGCGTCTCATTCAGAAAGGTCAAGTCTGGGGGCACAGAGGAGTGGAGTGGCCTCTCCGAAACTGTGTTGGCATGCCATAATGCATGCCCTCATGGGTGGAAATTACAGTTCTCCTGATCCTCCTGAGTGCATCAAACATGAAACCATGTCACAAAAATAACATATTTTTAAGCTTTGAAACTTGCACAGTGGTTTATTTATAACTCTTATTTTCATAACTTTAAACGAAGGAACTCACTGTTAGCCTATTTACTTCCGCCAACATGTATTTATTCATAATGTTATAACTTTTACTTAGAAGCTGTAGTGATTGCCGTTACCATTCGTTAAAATTAAACATGTTGTCGATCTGTTAATTCACCATTAAATGCTGTGCTTCTGTGTGGCGGTTGTATTAATACATTATTATTATTATTACAGGGTAGCCACATACCCTCAGCATGCTGATGAAGGTCTCTGCACATTAAAACAATCAAACCTCTCTGTTTTCAGCCGGTTTCAAGTGCTTTTCCTGATTTCCTGCGAGCTCCCTCCCCCTCAGCAGCCATTTGCTTGCCTCTGCAGTTATTTTAAAGCATGCATCTAAACTAAACTTGACTGGGAAATAAAAGAGCTATCATCATTATTCAAATCTATCTGAAAGAAAAGAAACAACAAGCTAATTTATGATTCACGTTTTTTTTTTTTTATTATTTATACTTAAAACAGCAACAACAAACACTGAAGTTTGTCTGTGAAGGTTCTCAGTCATCTAGGTCATTGTAGTGAAGGAGCTTGGAATTAAAAGCGTCTAGATTTCTTTACGTTTTCTTGAAGACGTTTCACCTCTCATCTGAGAAGCTTCTTCAGTTCTAAGAGCAACTGGTGGAGAGTCCCAGATTTCAAGCCCTATGGGAGTGTACCCAAGAGGGTCATGGACCCCTATTGATCCTCTACCTAATCACACGAGCCAAGGTGTGAAAACGGGTGTGGGTCACAATCAGCCAAAGTTTCGGGTGAGCTCATTTTGAAACCTAGCCCCACCCTATCAAGTGATTTCCTGAGGTCAAATAGCTGGATGTGAGTGGGTGTTAAGGCGTCTGGGAAGGGATCTCAAAACTGGATTATAGATGGCAGACAGTTGGTGTCGTAAACCACCGCCTCTGTTCAAAGATGGTCACTCACAGCAGACATAGATGGCTTCTTTCATTCTTCTTTCAAACCATCTGTCCTCTCTGTCCAAAATATGTACATTGGCATCCTCAAGTGACCATTGTCCTTTAGATGCAGATTGACAGCCGTGTCTTGTCCCATGGAGGTGGCTCTTCTTTGTTGTGCAATGTGTTTATGAAGTGGCTGTTTGGTCTCTCAAATCTAGAGGTCTAAGCATTCCTCACTACATTGTACAGCCTATACTACATTATTACATTTGTGTTTAGGAGTTTTGTCTTTGGGATCAACCAGTTTTTGTCTGAGTGTGTGTTAAAATTTATGTTTTTATCCACAAATCAAAACCAACGAAGTAGAATCCTTCACTGTTCACATCAACTCTGTGGATAAAACCAAAGTTCACCAGGGAAGACACAAAAGACAACAGTTTGCCATTTCTGGACTGCACTGTGCACATTGAGGAGAATGGAAACCTCAACATGTTTGTTCTAAAACATTTGTTTTACAACAAAAATGGAAGCCACCTTCTTCCCCTTCTCCCACCACCAGTCATCAGATTTGAAAAACTAAATAATTAGTTTTTTAGTCTTCACTGTCAGATCAGTCATTTAGGTCCGAATCTTTTCATATGTTGTAGTCCCAAACTCCTGGATTTTATTACAAAACGATGGCATATGTACATAAGACTTATGCAGCAGTATCATACATAATCTGTATGGTGTACAATAAAAGCAATGCACAATCTTAAAGTGAAGAAATTGTATCCCTTGCATCATGGGAAAGTATTTGAATGTTTCTAAATATCCTTTCCCACTCTTTTATTATCCCATTTCAAACTTAAATGACGGTCCCAGGTCTTCTTGAGAGCTAAAAGCTTCATTACCCAGTTTCTGAATCGCCAGAGAAATACACAAAGTACTTTATCAAAGAGACTGTGCATGGGTGATAATGGAGGTAATTGAGGCTGTTAAGTACCGTACTGAAGCAGAGCTGGAGGTTAACTGCATAATAATAAACAGGATTTTAGGTTCTCCCGACCCCACCCACCATCAGCCAGCCTCTGCAGTATGTAAACAAGATTATTTTGTAATCCCATCACACCTCCCAAATAAGAAAGGGGGATCCTTAGGAGTGGTGTAATGACTGGTACTAATTTTTAAGATGTTAACAATCTCAGCCACTGATGAGTTTAGTGCTGCCCAGCGAAAAGAAAATGTGTGTAGTAATGGATCAGTGTTTGTGCTTCTAACAAGATCTAAAACAAATGCTTTACCCCAAAATGATCTAAAGTTGTTTTTAAAGCTTTTATGACCTGAAAGTTACTTCTAGCAGACAAATTTTAACAGAGACAAATTATTTATAGGATCCCCACTGAAAACGTGTTTTTGACGATTCCCTTTTAAAGAAAGGCGGTGAATAACTGTTCACCAGGGTTTAGCCCTAAATTTAAGGGTAAATTCTTAGAAAACCGACATAACTGTAAACGTTTGATCAAAACTATGATACTAGTTTACCATCACATGGGGGCGCTCTCCGCACCAAACCGGACTGTTTGATAAATTAATAAACGTGAAAATACAAACCAAGACATTCTGACGACCGCAAAGCAGCAAAAATGCTCATGTAAATTAATAAATAATGATTATGTGTTATAATGTAAACATATCTCAAATTAATTTAAGGGAAAAATAACTCCAGTGTGTTTTTCAGAAGGTTAAATTTGTTCAGCCATCCATGGTTGGTTTACTGTTAGAATACCTGCACTTATGTTTTCGTCTTCATTATTTACAGGAAGGTATTTGAAAACCTCCGATTCTGATTCTGAACAAACCTTAGAGAAGTAATAAAAGGTAATAATTCTGCTTTCTTGGATTAAAGCTGCACATATTATTCCAGAGATAAACAGTCTGCATTCAAATTAAAGCTCAGTCCTGAGAATTCATGGCGTCAAAAGTAAATCTCATTCAGGATTGTGAAGTTTTCCTCTTTCACTTTATAGGAGGGAAGGGAAGAAATGTGCTCTTACACCCCTAACCTTAATCTTCCACATAATGCTTTTCAGTTATAGGTTAGATTTCCCTGCAGGACATTTCTGTTTCTGGTAAAGTTCTGCTAAAGTCTGGACATATAGTGGCACAAAAATCGGTTATTGCTGTTTTCAGTGAGTCTCAGGTCGCGACAAATTATGGAGCTGGGATGGCTATTATTATTCTTTTTTATATTGGAGACACTGAAAAACATCCACCAACTTTCACTGTTGCAGGATTGTTTTAGATACTGATCTAATCTCAGGTTCTGAAAATGTATTGTTTTCTTATTGTTCGATCTTTGTCGGAGTATTTGTGTGTTTTATTTCTTTGCGTTTTCATGTTTTAAAAAATGAGTAAAAATGACGGGGCGTGTTCTGACGCCATTACGCTTGAAAAACGAGCCTTCCATATTTGGTGTCGCCTTCCTGGGACACCTCCAAGCATTATGATGCTGTGCATGTCGCTCATGCTGCGGCGGGGCTCGGCCTTCGCCGCGCGGCTTGCACGGCGGGATCGGGCACTCAGTTTGGCGGGTCTTTCGTGCCGGCACTACAGCACCGAGACGGCTCCTCACATCCCGGGAATGGAGTACCAGGTATGCTGCGTGACCGCCGCCCTTCGTGCTCCAGCCGGCTAACGAGCTAGCTAACTGAGCAGCGAGACTGTTTCCGAAAGTTTGGAGGTAGTTTTCGGGCTGATTGGAGTTTGATGGAATCATGGCTGACAGGCTGCCCGGACTCGGCTGTTACACGCTAGCTTGGACAGCTATTAACAGCTCGCGTGTGTCAGTGGTGTGTCAGTGTCAGTGGCTAAAAGTCTGCGCTGGCACGTGCTGTGGTATTTCTGTGTAGCCATGGTATTTCTGTTAGTTTGACTCGTGCCACGCTCACCCGACCTTTTCCTGGATGAACTCAGGTGTTTTTGATGTTTCCTGTAATATTAATGGGAATTTTCCGCAGTTTCAGAGCTGGGACTGTCAGAGCCGTCCGCAGTCTTATCCCCACTTTATGCAAAATTGAGGAGACAAGACCCTTTTAATCTCCTCGTGCTGCTTTCATAAGCATTTGGCACATAAAATTTTACACATGGGTCCATCATGGGTTTCCTGCGGCCAGATATTAAAGAGACTCAATGAATGAGTTTATTGTCACTGCAACAAACTTATCTTTAAGGATTTTCTGAGTCTGTTTCAACTGTAGACTGTATGTGAAAGATGGAAGTAGTTGTCCATTGATCTCTTGGTGTTGTTATGAAACCCGGCAGACTCAGGGTAGATCAGACTGCCTGCTCTTTGGTTTATGATCGACGAGGCACATATCCTGTTTTAGGCTCCACTGTGACCGTAATAATGACCATAATTCATAAAATAAAGACATTTTCTTCTGTAAGACTTTAAACTCCTGATTGGCCCAGTAAACTGATCAAGAATGTGTTCACTGCCGTCACAAATCAATTAATGCTGGTTTATACACAACCAGAGGAGTCGGCACCTGGTGGTGATCAAACAAGGTTTAAGGCACTTCTGTATTGGTCTCACTTTCTAGATTGATTTTAGACACGATCTGTCAGAATTCTACAGAAATAATTGCTTTAAAAAAATCAATTTTTATTAAGCAAATAAACTTAAATATACTTTTTGTAGTTGCCCTCTGGAGGTTTAAATAATTTGGACAGTTCAGATGTTTCCAGATGTGTGCTGCTGTAAATTAAAACCCTCTATAATTTTTTTTACAAAAGAAATTAACAGAATATGAAGAAATGGCTGCTATGACTTCATATCTTTTTTTCTGCCTAAATGAGTGTGGACCAAACCACTCTGATTCATACAAGGTTGGAGTTCATTTTAAGTAATTAAAAATGTTTTGTTTTCCATCTGTCACCTTTGACCCAGAAGCCTGTAACCACTGAGATTACACCCATGCCTGCAGCTAAACACAAGATTTCTCTTTACATTTCTGACCCACTGCTGGGCTCGGCTCCCTGGGATTCACACCTATTTTTTTTGTTTTGTTTTTTTGTTTTGTTTTGTTTTTTCAGAAAACAACACACCTGAGTTATAGGAGACACCACCTGGTGGTGGTATGGAAGGGTGTCTGGTAGCTGTTTCTTGAAAGGCTCGAATGCTGTTAACTGTCTCCTGTAGCAGTTTTTAAACATTTCCATGTTCTTCTTCATCTGTCTTTACCTCTTGTTGCTTTAAGCTGTCAGAACTACTCCACACCTACTTTTCACAACGCCTGTGCTTTGGACTCTGGCCAGGAGAACAGTTCATTTGCATGCAGAAGTGAAAAAGAAATGTGGCGTCTGTGTTGGTGGTGGATGGGAGCATACCTGCTATAAAAGGTGATCAAACGTTATCAAACTGGAGCCAGTGATCTAACCATGGATAAAGACAGGACAGCATAAGAGCAATCGTGAGCTGTGAGACTTCATTCTGCTTAATTTCCAGCATTTCTGCTGGTGTTTTTTTTTTTTTCTATTTCTGTGTCTGATTTATATTCATTGGTTTTAAAGTGGAAGGCGTGTGATGTTTTTCATGCTGTGAATCACTATCTTTTAAAAGTACTGGCTTTAATCTTTTTTTTTTTTGAGTGTTTGAACTCTCATACAGAGGAATTGGGTAAATGGGATTGCGGATACATGCTGAAGTTTGCCGTGTTTATATGACGTCTCAGTTGTAAATTGAAAAATCTGTGGTTGTTTTTATTTGCATATCTCAATAACAGTTCATCTGATCTGCTTTAAACTTGGCTGTTTAGTTTTCAGGGTTTCAGCAAACTCGGCGCTGAGATTGAAGTCATTGAGCTCTCATAATCTAAGGAGCTTGGAAAGAAAGTTCTGATGGCTTTATGTTTTTATCGTTAGGGTGGCTGCTGCCTGCTCCACTCTGTGTGTAGGGGGAGGGACTCACCTGTGAGGACTCACACTGACATTAATGCATTCCTGAAATTTTAACTCCCAAAGTTTAACTGATAAGATTTGGATACTAAAGCTGTCATTAATTCTGCTTACAGGTCCGACTATTTCATAGATTCCTGCATTGATTCCTGATCAAAGCAAACATTTATCTCTAAAGGCAAAGAGATTTGAAATGATGTCAGAACACTCTCCAGCTCTGATTAAAGGAATGAATGAGTTGTTAGACATGTGAATCTGATGGAGTGGACAGTTTGAAGTTGACTCTTCATGCCCATCCCATCTTCCAAATCCAGTCAGATCACAGTGCAAAAAATATCGTCAGGTTGAATATTTGCTTTTGTAACAAATTATTTATGAACAGAATCCTTTTCATTGCCCCTGTGAGTCTCATGAGCTTTTTTTGGTTTAAAAAAATAAATAAAATTTGATCTGGTCTGAGTAATCAGAATCAGACTGTGAGCTTTCCAGATATTCATGAGCCTGCCAGTTGTTTAGCTAGATTAAATTGATTTCAAAGAACTTGAGAACAGGAATAACTGCTGGCTGCTTGAATAATCACTTATAAAAGAAAGCTTACATTGACCTGCTGCAGCTTCTTCTGGTGCAAACAGTTGTTACATGAACGTACCTGAAAGTACAGTCGGACTCTGGTTCAACTTTAGTTGATATCACTTCAACACAAAACGTAAATACTTTGCACATAAAGTCATTCTCATTCAGTTTAACTTCAGTTCATTTTGAATATATGAGACATTTTTCGTTTTCATATATGAGACTGCTGAAACCTGTAAGATGAATCTGGCATGAGACGAGGCTTAACATGTTGCCCAGATGAAGACGGGTGGCTGATGTAATATAGAATAAATAATACTGTGGCCATGTTTTGATTCTTGTAATTTCCATGTTCATGAGTCCACTTGGGCCAGAGTGATGTAAATTTCATCATCAGACATTAACCATGTGGACTTATTTGTGAAGAAGTAGCTTTACCCTGCGCCAGCTACTGCCAGTGTCCACGGTGAAGCATGAGCTAAGCATTAGACCCCGCCCACACCCCCACATGCCGCAGGTATCTCTGTTACAGAGTGACAGAAGAGCTGCTGTTGTGCTGCTCATCAGTGGTTGGTTGGTCTCAGCCAGTTTGCCTCATAGGGGTTGTTGGGCAGGTGGTTATACCTCTGACTCTCACTGACCATCTCGGCATGAAAGATTTCTTAGCTCTGGTCGTGTGAATGTGCCATTTTTACCTTCTGACATGTGCAGGGAAACAAAGTATCTGTCACTCTTTAAGTCAGACTGATCCTCATCCTTTCATTCAGAAACTCTTTCCTGCAGATTATTGTGACTCCATCCTCAAACCTTTTTCTTTCACCTCAGGACGCCATTTGCACTCTGAACACGCTGCAGACAAATGCCAGCGCCTTGGAGCAGGTACGACGAGAGCGCAGCAACCCTCAGCTGCAGCTGAACGCCATGAGAGGCTTCCTGGAGCGAGCCGGCCTCACGGTGAGCCAATCAGGGTGGAGAAAACATTTAGAATTACAAACAGTGTTATAGTAGATATGGCCTTCAGTGTTATCTGACACGTGTGTCTGTGTGTGTCAAAGGTGGACGAACTCAACCATCTCAATATCATTCACGTGACTGGAACAAAGGGCAAGGTGAGCTGATGTGTGTTACATAACTGTATGAAGATGAGCATTTCTTTAGAGCTATGTTTTATTGTTCTTGTATATCAGTCTCACTCAATACTCAAATCATATCTTGAAATCAGATTTAGGTCTGAGATAAAGAGGCAGTCTTGTACAAACACACCCTGTAATTGGACTTATCTTAAAAGTAACTCTATAAAATATGTATAACAGTGGGGGAAAAATAACCCTCAAGGGGAAAAAAAAGACAAATTTAAATGGATGAAGTAAGATCCAGGAGCTCAATAATATAAAATGCTATGGAAAAAAATATAGAATTTATGCAAAAAGATCATGTCGCTATTTATCAGTTATGGAAAAATGGAACAACTTACAATGTTAAACTTTAAAAATAAATGCAATAAAATATGTAAATACAATATAAAGACATGTAAATGGGGGAAAAAAAATAATGCAATAAAAAAATAATTTAATATGATTAAGTTACAAAAATTATTTTAAAATTGTTTTCCACCTGTAAAACATAATGGGTACAGTTGGACAAAAGTGCAGGATGTAGCAAAAAGTATACAAGTTATAATTTATGTATGCAAATTTTTTTTAAATTTTGAATTTGTTCATTTTTTTTTAATGGTTTAAAAAGGTTTAATTTAATTAGTATAAAACTGTAAGTAAAAAGTTTGATTTTTAGCAGGAAAACATAGTAAAAGTGATGAGTTTGTAACATTTTAATATTTCCTGACTCACAGAGAAGGTGAGGGACACAATTTCATACATTTCCTGGATTGCTTTCTCCGTCCAGTTAAATTTGCTCAGTCATTCAGATGTTTCTTTTGTTTTTGGTACGTTTCCTGACTCTAAAACTCTGAATTCATGAGCATAAGCAGGCCTCATCTGTCTGCACACACCAACAGGATGTGATGCCAAAGATTTACTGACAGTGCGAGTCCCATCCAGCCCTGCAGATCTTTGTCGGGCTTGTAGTGATGTGTGGGACTCTGTTTAACCTCGCTGTCGTCTGTCCCGTCAGCGCCGAGCTCTCGTTATGCAACTTGA